GACCAGGAACATTTACAAATTTCGAACATTACAAACCATTTAACTTCAGTGAATTCACATCGGACATTAGTACTTTTACGAAAACATTACCTAAAGTCATCGGTGGAAAATATCGACGTGTGATCAGTAAAGACCACAGAGCTAGCTTGCTACCTATTAAGTGAATTGTATATAAATTATTGTTTGTAATAACTGTTATTGTAAATTGTATTATTGGTTGCATACTAATGTGTTTGTTTGAATCTATGCACAAAGATACACAATGGGCTATCTGTGCTCTGCCCACTACGAGTATAGAAAAACCCGGTTTCAATCTTTGTAAGTCCGCAGACATACCTCTGTGCCACTAGGGGGCATGTATATTAAAATATATTTGTATTGAAAAAGAAAACTGTGTGTATAAATCTTGTTCGCAAATATCATAAATTGGATATATATCAGCATTTATTTAACTACTAAATCTAAATTACAATTTAACTCAGTTTTAGGCTATTTGAAATTGTAATACGTAACACAACCTTCAGTCTGTTGTAATGACCATTACAATTAACTTACTAATCTTATTTTTCAATTCATCTAACACGTCAGGATTTTGCTTTGCAAACAATTTTAAGGTGTAGCATTAATAGGGTTTCAAATACTTTAATGCAAAGCACGACTATTAGAATTACTAAGAATATTTTTTTAAAAAGCCATGCATTACATGTTGATGGACAGAGCGCGGCCCAGTAGTTAGCTTGCCGGCCTATGGAGCTGAGGTTTTATAGTTCGCGCCCCCTTACGGCCAAAAAAAATCGAATTCCGCATTTTGAGGCCATGAGTGAGTTATAAGAGTTACGATCAATTTCCATTTTACAGTCTAAAGAGCGACCCAAGAGTCTGCTGTGAATGGTGTTGACTAGCAGTCTTCTGTCTAGTTTATCACATCAACTTATACGCTTACTTTTTATTTTCAAAATATGTAACTTCACACGAAAGGTATTCTGAGAGAAAAAGAAATAAGGTTATCTAAAGAAAATATGTTAATTATATACATCTTAAACTTAAGATCCTTCTCACCTACCTGTTCACTGAATAGTCAAATCTCGAAATGTGTTAGTACATTCCTAAATAATGATCTGCTCATAGCTCATCGTGTGTAGATCAACCCACTTAATGAAATAAGCTAATGAAATTTTGAAGAAAAAAAAGGAAACTAGAATTTACGTTACAGAATATCCTCTGTTTCAAAATGGTGTTTTAACAAGGTTAACAATCAATATTGCATTAATTTCACGAGCTGCGCTCCAACTGCAGTGCACAACGGGCGTTACTGCACCTACAACGAGAAGCACGTGAGCAGGTGTTGTTACCACGGCAACAGCAGCAATGCACTACGTGGGTAATTGATCGATAGATGGAGCTACGGATTCCTCAGTAGATTCTTTCTCTGACTCTTTTCGTATATATATATTTTTTTTTCATTGTTTCGAATAAAAAAAAAAAAAGATGGAGAAAAACTTCGACGAGATCAAAAACAAGCTGCAGAAATAGTGCATAGCGATACTTACATAATGTCTTTAATATTGTAATTTTTACCATTTCTTTATTGCATTTGAATGCATTTAAATTACTTGAATTTTTACGTTCATTAAAACAATTAGTATTCTAAGCATCTTCGAATCACATGGCTCTTGCCACTTATTCAGATTCTTGTAATCCACAGAGATTTGCACAATGGATGGTTTTTAATAACAAAATTATTTATACTATAAATCTAATTTTAGCTTTTTAATAGCGTTTAGAGATAATTACCATGATCACAACCGGCTGCGGACAGTGAGTAGTAGTAGGTTTTAGGATCCTTATTTGATCTTCCGTTCCAATTGTCACGTTTTTCATGTGTTGTCTTGGATTATGTTAGGTAGATGGGATATCCCAACGCTTTTGGGAGCTATTACCGTAGGCATTTCCTTTTAAAAATTATACTTTTTTGTACTTTCTTTACAACAGATATAATTTTTAACTTTCTTTTGTAGTGTGTGTTAATTGCGCGATAATCAATTCCTTATGACTGTGAGTAGCAGTTCTGGTTTTGAGTTTCACTCATGATACTGTAGTTTTGTTTTCATTGATGTATAGTACTGAACTCATCGTCTTGATGTAACTTATAGCATTCGACTTGTATTATATATTTATATATAACTATTTATTAATGATATATCTATATCTAGGTCCTGATCCCCGGGAATGGAAGAGCGCAAGCCGTGTCCAACTGTCTTGCTTTGTGTCATGGCTAGTGTATATTCGCTTGCGCGTTGTCCTTACTTCACTTTATCAAAACAACACGCACTGCCTGCTAACACTGATAAGCAGAATCTGGGCGACAACACAAACTCGCTAGACTGGTGGTAGAAGATGCGTTTAGTAATCTGAAACGGAATTACTGCGTCTACATAACCGTGTGAATATATGTTCATTATGTTCTACCAGATAAAAATACAGAATATGGTAGTTTACAATGGCTATCTGTGCTCTGCCCACCACGGGTATCGAAACCCGGTTTCTAGCGTTGTAAGTCCGCCGACATATCACTGTGCCACTGGGGGGGGGGGAGCAGTTTACAATGTTAATATCATCTCCTGCAGAAACAAATGAGGCATGGCAAAAACTGAAAACATATATCATTAACAAAGCGAATTTCCGTTGTATGATTATTTGTGTGTGAATGAATGGGAAATCGGCTAGTGATTGTGGTGTCAAAAATATCAAGTTTTCTGGTATCATTTATAACTGGTATTGACCGAAAGGCCTCGTCGGTGCTGGATATGACAAATGTAGTATGGTTGACATATT